CGGTGATGTGATAGCATATTTTTTTCGCGTAGGGTCCCTACCTGACTTTCGCCGATCGCTTTTACATGTGCGAACCACCCAAGTATCCGTGGCTAGTAAATCTGCGAGCGAGTCACTTTAACCCATATAAACCGAAAGAACTACAACTGCTGACTGGCAACGTGACAGGTGTAAATGTTACTGTGGATGACGGCTTCTGGGTAAGATATTGCTGTTTGAGATATTCCTTTGCACTACTTTTGAAAACCTGGCCGACGTCATGATAGATGACGGCTTCTGGGTAAGATATTGCTGTTTGAGATATTCCTTTGCACTAATTTGTGACGTTCTGATAAGGAGAGGAATTTGAAAACGACTACCTTCATTTTTACATTTATCCTTATTAAAACAGATAAAATTAATGTTAGCCCTTCGGTCAAATAACCAATGGAAGGATAACTACCTTGTCTTCACCTTAAACGACAAGGCATGCACGAATTTTAAAGTGCATATGCCTGGACTTTACAAGATTCTTTTCGGTCCGAATCTTAATCTCAAAGAGGAGTGCCTACTCAAACCTGTAAGTATTTTCACTACAATTTGTCTCCTGTGGTTATTCGTTTCAGTTTTCTATTAATTTATGTTATTGAAGAGCCAAGATTGAAGTTCATTTAAACATTCAAGCAATTATAAAAAGCTGTCGTCACTTCTATTCACAGGGAACTTACAATGTGAATAACACTCCAATCGACTGGACTTTTCCAAAATTTCCAGTCATGCCTTACGGCCGCTTTAAGGTGAAACTGACGATGGGTAAGGCTGAACAACTAGCAACATGCCTTTTCATAGAACTGAGGCATATGCCCAAGTTGGAGTAGTGACAAGGCACTCTACAACCCTGAAAAAAAGCAGTAAATTTTTATCCAAATACAATGTTGCACTCGACAGCTTTTATTATTTCCGGGGTATTTTTTTTATCCTCCAATAACACTAATTTTTGTAACTCCCGGTACCCTCACCTGCCAACTATTTGGACTTATTTTGATTTGCCTCCAGGAGGACTTTACTGTTTGCGCTACGGCCCAGCAGCTGTAGGGATGCCATCATCGCACTCCGAGGAGAGAGAGGAGGAGGATAGGGAGGGGTGGGATGGGGGGAGGAGGAGAAGGAGGGTTGGG